TTTGGAAAGCTTTAGAAGTTGCGTTAACTTTGTTCTTAGCTAGTTTTTTGTGGCCACGAGAATATAGGTCAGTCAATGCTTCGACAGCGTCGCTTCCATACCAACGACAATCAGATCTCTACCTGGGTCGAATAATGCTTACTAAGTTTATATGTATTTGCATGCGATTTTCATGACATTTTGCCAAGTGTGATATTCGTAGATAATACTAATTTTTGTTCACTAGATCACGTCGACCGATCACGATCGCGATTGCGATCGATGCCATATTTATTTTCGCTAACGGCTCTTACTTTTGTCATTGCTACAGATCCTGCTGCCATTGCCGCTGGTGCTACTAACTTAACAACCGCTATAAAATATCTTTATTATCGTACTAATGAAACGATTCTTATTATTAATGTACTGGCGATTGCAACTAGTGCATGTTTCGCTGAATCACGTGCAGATAGTTTTTATTTCTATCCTTTGGATGCATAGAAGCTACCGGAAAAATGCGATATATAGCTAGTATCTGTATACAGATACTTAGAATAACGCTGATGTAAAAGGGAACGCACGAGTACAAGGAGGAGAATTGAAAGCATAAACTGCCTGTTACAGAAACGAAGCCCCCAGCCGGCAAACCGGCGCCGGCCACGGCGGTCACGGGGGACTCCTCACACCCTACGATACTGTGGCAGTGTAACCTGTAAATCATCTTCCGTGGTCTTCCGTCTCTCTCATCACCAGCGACCGAAGATTCGAGAGAAACGGAAAGAGCGCGTACGCTAACTCTTCCCCCGGTGCTGTCGTCGGTCCAAATTGCAACGATATATCAGAAAAATTACCATCGTCGCGAGTAAATAGATTCGGTCCATCGCATTAGGCGGTACACTCGTTGAGACGTTTCGTTTAAACAATCAACCCTGAGGTTGATTTACCAGCGACGACGATATTTGTCTCCTGAAGGGACCGTTTTCTTCGTCTTCGACCATATCATTTTATCCCCTTTTTGGCCTTTCTCTATTTCGATCTCGCGTTTTTTCGTATAAGCGCACTCATTCTTGCTCAATTGTCGACAAGGCCATATTACAAAACTGCCAAATTGATTAACTGCCGATTCAGGCGAAGAGGTAATTTTTATTCGAGGGGCAACATACCGCGTCGTTTTGTGTAACTTAACGAACCATCGAACTCATCGATTCGTCCTAAACGAGTGTCTTGTTAGAAAACGAACACACCCGGCATGTTCGTGGACGTTGAAAAAATGCGACTAGAATCCGGCCCGCGACGCGTGCTCTCGGCGACGGTGCGTTTCACGGGGGTTTTGGCGGTATATCCTAGGTTACAATTGTCGCTTCCAAGCGCCACGAGTCACGGGAAGTACACACGAGATACATTAGTTACTCGCTTTTTAAGTCATGGTTGTGCCACACTGCCGCTCCCTACAGGCATATGATATTATACATACATATATATATATATATATATATGATGATGATATTATACATATATATACAATTTATAATTTCGTAACGAAGGTTGTGTCCCCCCTTTTGGTGATTGACGATCTTGAGTCTCGACGTCGCGGAGAGCAAGTCTAGAAAGCACTGTATTGCGACAGTGTCGCAGAGAGTGCGTCGTCGTTGTCGTCGTTGTAGCAAGTAGTCAAGCAACAGGTCGCATCGATGCCGTGGTGGCGTCTAATCGATACTTCTTCCGCCGCGTGTGTCGAACCAACAAATTTTCATAAAATTCCTTTTTCACCGATCGACTTATCCGTAGGAAGAACGCGGCACGCTAAATCGTAGATCACGATTCGAAACACGAAATCGTCAGCTGACCACATTATAAAACATCACATGCCATACTTTAAAAGGAGAGAAGATAACGCGTAAGCACACACCACGTTCGTTGTCGATTTTTAATCGTCCTATATAATATTTAGTCCGCTATACACACACATATATTCGCAAGCTAATCTCGATCAATTATGAACCTACGTGAATTTAATTATAAAAGCGACGATGATATTATACGTGTAAGCAACTCGAGCAACAAGTACCGATTTAAACGTAAGTAGGACATAAGTCGGACGGATGGTCGCGAGGTGCGCCGTTCTCTTTCGTTCAATGGTGACACGTCGAGTAATAGATGAGTAAATAGAAAAATCAGGCCATAGAAATGCGATTAGATAGAGCGCTATTGGAAATCGAAAAAAGTAAATAGATAAGAAAAATCGAAACACCGTTCGTTCGAATATTCAATCCTGTATATCGATGTGGCGCCAGGATACAATTACGACGCGTATCTCATAGTTCGTTTTTATCACAACACTATTTAGATATATAAAAATATATAAATATATAAATATAAATATATATGTATACATTGACGTTCATATATATACGTTGTAAGTAGGTATGTCTAGATATTGCATTTATTTGCCGAGGCGATGCACGAGTGGTACACCAGTTGAACTTGGATCACGGTCGAAGGATGTCTCGTCGTTGACGACGAGCTGTTGCCGGGATACTTTGTCCGTGAATCTGTGACTTTGAATGTGTGGCTGCAACTCTGCTCGCCGACGCACTTTTACTCATCGATGTGATTTTAAAGGTTGCGCAAAGTCTCGTGTCTCGTGTATGTGTTACGATCGCGCTCTACCACATTAATGTAGCCATGTGCAAGTCACCTTTTACGATGTATATCACGTTTTACTCACATAACGCTCGCGGAACTTTTCGCTTTGATGCTTTGGAACTTAACGCGATGAAAGAGAAATCGAAAGACATTTAACATATTCGATATTAGCCGTACGATTGAAGACGTGACCGTCGATATTAAGTAACAAAAGCTGAAAAAAATAAAAGAAAAAAAAACGTGATGTTCGCGGATTGTCGCATAGCTTTCTTCTATTAATCGATTGGAAATACTACTCGTTTAATCGTTATCGTTTGTGTGATCGATCTGGTATCGTTATTTTTCGCAAAGTTTAACGTTACTTTTGATGATGCTGTGAAACGGTCGGTGCCGCCGTCCGCGTTATACCTATATATTATGCTTTGTTCATTGGTAATTTTGGATATTCGTTTTCGTGCAGCAACGAGGCGGTTCTTCGAGCTTCTCCTTCGGCGGAGCGCGTATCGTTTTCTTTTTCCGTTGCAAGCAGACTCGGGACATTTCGTAATTAGTACCCTGTGTTGCGCTCAGTGCTCGCCTTTAAATTGGCTGTAAGTTCGCATTCTCGTACAACGATACTCGTATTTCTCCGCGTTCGTAGGGACTCGAGGATCCGCTCGTAGTACACCGTTTCCTCAGTACCAATATTTTATGTTTTTGTACCAAAGTCGTAGCGTCTAACTTTACGTTAAATAAATAAAACCAAAAAAAAAAGGAAACAATTGTTTGATTTTAGATTCCTAAATATCAAATCTTTTATTCAACCTATGTGTATGTTCACGAAGGACTGGATTTTTCGTTAAAAATAATTGTAAAATAATCGCTATATCATGTTTTAAATATTTTAAAGATCCATTAGAACACGTTTGATTATACCACAAAAGCAATGCGCTATTGATTTGCAATATTTAATATTTTACTGGGTTATCAAAAACCGCGCCGCATTTCGAATGTTTACGATATGGTAACATTTGAATGGTGTTTATGCAGTGATAACTCGTAATAGTTGGTAACATTATTTGTTCGCACGATGGCGTCTGGCGGTGGTACGTACCGTTTATTTTGCTTTTTATTATTTAATAGGTAGTGTTAGAGGATACGTTTCGGACGAGAATTTGTGTTAATAATAATGTCGAACAACGTGTTGTTCTTGTAATAGCAGAAAACACAACGGAGGAAAGGACTGAGCCAGCAACGCCGGCACAACCCCTCACCAATGTTGTGAGCGAAACAGCGCACGTAAGTTAGATAACCTATAAATGTAGGCGTAACCTTTTGTGCTATTATCTTTTTACGTTGACTTTTATCGTTGATAGTTTCTAAAATATGATTATTAATCGAATATTTTTCTAGTGTTACGCCGATTTTATGTATCCAAATTTACAATGGATTATTCGAACGAAACAGTTTTGATATTTCCCGCCAAACTAATGACAGCTGTTGTAACGAAATTTAAGTATGGTTTTGTACCAACGACGTTGGATTAGGTTATTTGAGCAGTTAGGTTTGCATATTTTTGTACAGTTTCATTAGTTTTACCGATATCTTGTGCTTCTTATGACTGCCTTTGTGTGAAGTGTATAAAAAGTGTAAAGAAAATAATAGCACATAGTTCTAGTTATGTTTGTAAGAATAAAATTAACACTGATCTTCATCCGCTGTATTGTTTTTCATTGTTACAGAGGATACTAGCAATGAATAAGGATTCAGATCTGTCTGGTGCACCACCAAAGAAATCACGCGTTGAATTACAATCCCTGCCAACGAGGCAATATTTGGATCAAACTGTAGTTCCAATTTTGTTACAAGCTTTATCTAGTTTAGCCAAGGAACGACCTGCTGACCCCATTAGCTTTCTAGCTGGATACTTGTTGAGGAATAAAAGTCAATATGACAATGGCGAATCTCCACCTACTAGTCAATGAACTGCGTATGCATGTATAAGTATGTGGTGAAAATTGAAGAATTGTTTATGAACACTTATTGACATTTCTTAGGAATATATTCAAGTTGGAAAAGGCGTATTTGTGTATCAAATTAAATAAAAATGTATTAGCTTTCTATCGTATGGCAAGTTTTTTGGTGGTTAAATAGCAAAGAAAATGTAACGAGTTTCCTCTTTGGTGCTTATCTTTGTGCTTAATTTTAATGACAATTTTCTGGTGAATAACAAGGTTAATTCTTTATATATATATATATACATTTATATAGAATATAGAATATAGAATATAGAATATATATATATATATATATATATATATATATATTCTATATTCTATATATATATATAAAGAATTAACCTTGTTATATATATATATATACAGATATAGAATATAGAATATATATGTATGTTATGTGTATTATAATGTATAAATCTATAGAGATTAAGTTCATCATCATTAAGATATACGATACCTCCAGTAATTTATATCTGAAAAAATTTTAATCAGATCGTGCCGGGTTGAATAAAAATACTTTATAGAACTTCACTGAACCGATGTGTTTCACATCGACCATGAAAAACGAGAAGGATCGTTATCATTGGTCCAATAAATCGTAATGAGTATTCCGTGTTCACGTCGATATAATTGGATGCAATTAAATGTAATCGTCCACTGAATTGGCATGAAATTTATTTTACAGTTCGATAAGATCAATAATACGTATGGACACGCAACGTTCGACCGTACACTTTAATTTGGTTCCATTCCGGAAGTGACACCAATTTTTTCGAATTTAAAATCTGCGCACGCCGTTTCGCCAATGACGTGTGCCATCTAGTTGTTGATTTGTCGAGCGTAGTGTGTTGCATCAACGGTTTAATTGCACCGGTGGATCGTAACGATGCTGAAGAAAATTCGTGTATATCCCAGATAACGGTATGACATTGGTACAAAACGACGACAACGAGAAGATATCGAGGTAATTTCGTGGGGAACAATTCGCACGGCAACATCATCGTACCAAGTCCAATTAACGAGGTGAGCTCCCATTCAAGTCCCTCGTATATTACCTTGGTTTCTTGATACGGCTGTCACCGTGTATTTGCTGTGAACTTCATATTGCTTTTATTTTTCTGCTGTTATTCCGTGTTTTCTGGAAAGAATTTTTATATTGTGTAATATCCAGCAAATATCTTTTTCGTCTGGCTAAACCAAATAGGACGAAGATTCGCGTTACATATCGTATTGTACATAGGGTATCTATTGTAGGAACTTTTGAGATTGAACCGTATATGATGCGATACAATATGGAAACCAGGGAAAGATACAGTAGCAGCGAGTTTATGTTTCCTGCCTGGCTTTCGTAATTCTTTGTATTTAGACGAAATAGCGAGGTTCGCGCGCGATCGTGTTACAGTTAGCGCTCTCTAGGAGCCCATGCACAAAGAACGTGTATCAAGTAAACTGAGAGTATAGTTAATGGGCAAATCGTGTCATGGCTTTCGTCGTGCGCGCACAATCTGCAGATTCATGCCCGTACGGCCATACGGTGACTCGGTTCAATTGGCACGCATATTGGAATTCTATTAGCGAGATTACCGACAGTAATTGCTCGGTTTGGCACAATATCGCACGTTCGTCTATACCCAGCCAACAGGCTAGTGAGCGTCAAACGCGGATTAAGCGCGCGTCTTGCATCGTGGCTAAGGCAAGGCGGGTGTATTATGTTCCCGATTATGCTAGTACTAGTCACTAGTCGCACTCGGATCATCTGAACGGAATATGTCACGAATTGCGAATTTGAATATGCACCGTTATATTAGCCGGGACGGGTCGTGTCAAAGGAGATGTTCGGTTGAAATTACTCGAGCCACCTAGGTGGGAGCTTTGGCCTCGCGCGTTCCTCTGTGAAAATTTAATCGAAAGTTTCTACGGGTTGGGAAATGAAAGTTGAACATAGATGGGGTGAGAGGAACCGGAGGGGGGTAGGTTGGAAAAAGGACGGGCGGCAACGTGTTTCGTCGGGAAAGAAACGAAACTTGTAAGTTCGCCGATCTCGAAGGCCGGAAAACGATTTACCGGTCATAAGTGCGCGAGACTTCCCAGGTTGCGCCGAGGTTTTTTGAAATTTCTGTCTCCGAACGACTCCGGATAATATAAAATTTTTCTCCATAACTGGAAACTCTGCCACAGCTTCCTGTCCCGCTCTCTTCCCCTCTCTAGCTCGAGTCTCTCTGTGTCGGAGTTAGGGAAAAAACGCTTACTGAGCAGATTCGCGCGAGCTAAAGCCCTCTTTTCTCTCGTATTTTTTACCAAGCTAAAATTCTATCTGATAACCAGAAAGTTTTTTTCTACTCTCCGCTCTTTTTATATTTTTCTACTTTCTCTCTCTCTCTCTCTCTCTCTCTCTCTCTCTCTCTCTCGCTATCTCTCTCTCTCTCTCTCTCTCTCTCTCTCTCTCTCTCTCTCTCTCTCTCTCTCTCTCTCTCTCTCTCTCTCTCTCTCTCTCTCTCTCTCTCTCTCTCTCTCTCTCTCTCTCTCTCTCTCTCTCTCTCTCTCTCTCTCTCTCTCTCTCTCTCTCTCTCTCTCTCTCTCTCTCTCTCTCTCTCTCTCTCTCTCTCTCTCTCTCTCTCTCTCTCTCTCTCTCTCTCTCTCTCTCTCTCTCTCTCTCTCTCTCTCTCTCTCTCTCTCTCTCTCTCTCTCTCTCTCTCTCTCTCTCTCTCTCTCTCTCTCTCTCTCTCTCTCTCTCTCTCTCTCTCTCTCTCTCTCTCTCTCTCTCTCTCTCTCTCTCTCTCTCTCTCTCTCTCTCTCTCTCTCTCTCTCTCTCTCTCTCTCTCTCTCTCTCTCTCTCTCTCTCTCTCTCTCTCTCGCTATCCTTTTTTTGCATTTTATTTTGTTCATGAAAGATGATACACGGACTTTTGTCCGAGCGCGGCCGCGTAGCCTGAGACAATAAATACCGGTTGGGTTTCGCTCTAGTTACGATTATTAAATGTAATATCTGTTTTGAAAATAACGAAGCCCGTTGTAATATAAAATCGTTAATTGAATATCAGAACGTTTGCAGCTTGCAAATTGAAACTGAAACTTGCGAACTGAAGGGTTCGAGAATATATTCAGTTCGAAAATGAAATTCGTAATATGGTCACGTTATAAACGGACATTTTAATCAGTCTGACTGAATCGTTCGCGATTTCGTGAAACAGAGCGAAGGTACATAGGACGTTTGCTATGCCGTTGCCGGGCTATGCCTTTCCCTCTTTCTTACAGTCATTCTCTTCTTTTTGAATTATCTTGCGGTTCCTCGCTCGCGGGGCCACAGATTTTCATTTCAGATCTGGCTCTGGTACAGTGCAGAGGAGAAAATAGAAGTCGCTTCCCGTTGATTTCAATCTGTTTGACGGTACTCTCCTCGCTTCTTCTCGCTTCTCGAAGGACCGCGATGCCGGGGATGTTGGCGTACCGCGTCACTGCCCGAAGACAACGAGACAAGATCCGCGACGCGAGACATCTGTTATCATGCCACGGCATCTCCTCAGCTATTTCATGCTCTCGTTTCTTTCCTTCCGTTCCGCTCTGCTTCCTCTTCAGGACTTATTGGTCTCGAGAAGACATTTCCCTGAAGGACATTGATGCGCAATTACGTGAAAGTCCCGTCGACACGGTCGTGTAAACTCGAAAACGTCGCGTCGTCCGGCTTCTTACTCGTCCCCTGCGAATGGCTCGTTCTCTTTTATAGCTATGTAAATCGGCTAGATGGGACAATAGGGAACTTCATTGTTTGAAAAATCTTTTATTATCACGCGAAGAAGAGGCTCGTCTTAATTGGAGAGCAATGATACACAAATATATTCGTTAAATTCCCAGGTTATCCGCCATACAGAAGCGTATTCGCGTCGAGTAATTAGACGAAATAGAATCAATTCGATAATGATGTTTATCCTCGGACTGTATGCAAGATGCGCGTAAACAGAACAAGTATGGGGCATTCATTCCAATGAAGAGTATGAACGTTTGATTGCATTGTGCGAAGCTGATTTCACCAGCGAAAATCATTATGTGTGTCGTTCCTAAAACGATATCCTGGCTTAAAAAGTCTATATCCAGAGATAAGATTTAAGGATGAAATTGGAAAGAAAAGAGAGCCTAAGTGGTTTCGTCTTTTTGTCTCGAACGTTTTTTCAAATTAGGCATGATTTCCTTTTTTTTGGTATCATCCGCCCTAGCAATAGCAATATCAATATCACCCGGAATAGCTTCGATATTATCAGGGAACATTTTACACAAAGCAATACGTTTCTATGGATGGGGTTTAATGTAGAGGATCCACTCCCCAGAGTTTTAGTTTTCGATCGCAGCTGGACGTAGAACCGACTGCTACCTCTCTTCCTCTCTCTCTCTCTCTCCGCCCTTCATCTTCTCTCCACACCGGCAGGTAGGCGTCTCTCGAAAAGCGCTTAATCCTCCGACCAGTCGAAAGCCCCTCTGCTGGTATTACAGCAAACGCTGATTTGTGGTCGCGGCAGCGACATTATTTATAATTTGTGAGTATTAATAGCTGACTCACACGTGTATACCTACCGGGATATATATTGTACGGGAGCCTTTTCAGTCTCATCGATCTCGCCTATCGTCGATAAATTTCCTTCTCGTTCGTGGCCAGTAGTTCAAGTTTCAGTTCGGTCGCGGTTCTATTTTGCCGTACACGCGTACACATACACATTTCCATCGCGCCAAATCATTCTGCATTCTGACGTACACACTAGCTTATCTCCGTAGGATCGCGGTAGCGATTTCAATCTCCCCTTTTCTTTTTTGTGACAAACCTGTGAGTTTCTGGCGTGGCTGTGCAGGCTGCGCGTAATTATTAATTCCTTCATCGCCGTACGACTCTGCAAGTAACGGGACAATGAACGTCGCTTTAATTCTTAAGGACGCGTATACGTAGGACAATCAGGGCGGTACATATGCGAGTTGCAGTCGCGGAGTTGGTTCAGTTTTCTGGCCGCACCCAACGTCACGCGGCATTGTTCACCACGTCCGATCTTCGTCTTTCGCGGTCAGAGCAGAAAAGAAGAAAAGCTTAGTCGATGAAAGGCGAATGAAGACGGACATGTTCGAACGTACCCGAGAGGGACGCTGAAAGGGCCGACCTACGGAATACGTTATTTCTGAGGACTGTTATTTCGCCGCGGAATCCACGGACTGGGTATATGGCGCCGAGATAACGGAATCAGATAGCTACCGTGCCATCTCTTACCGCAGAATGATACCTTACGGGGATATAATTCACCGTTTCCAGACCGATACCTTTACCGGAAGGTACGCACGAAACCCGACTCTGTTCGTATTCTCTGTGTGTCTCGATGCAGGTCTCGAGACGCCCACCGTACCTACGCCACTGTCCGTGATGGCTTATTCTCGAAATTGTCGACCGGAGCGTAATAAAGCGTTCGGGGACTGCCAATCAGTCGATAGAACTTAACTTGGAACGCTAAAAGCGGCGCGGTAAGGGCGTGGACGACACGATACCGCTGCGCCACCCTGATGACCATGCTACCGCATTCATATTTTTTCCCCTTCGACGACCTGGATCGGAACATTTATCAGTTACGTAAAAAAATAGTTCATTCAATCACGCTCGTTTGATATGGCATCAAAGGCGAAGACTCGTTCTACATAAAAAGAGGGGTTCGTTCGAAGTTGTTGCTTTTTCGCGAATCCAATCTAACTTCGTGCGATAACGACTACGAAAGGTCAGTGGGAGTGGTGGGAAGAGAACGAAACCATTACTCGTTTCTACCCCTATTAGTTCATTTTCTCGTTAGGAAAACCGACGGATGTACAATTATCGACGATTGCGACGGCAATTAAGCCAGTTCTCGATACCCTTTGAAAATCTGCTTTCATTGTTTCGCTGTGGTTCTCTGGGATCTCATCCGAACGAAACAATGCTCCTCTTTTTCCTCCCTTTATAATCTGACATGATCAGTCGACGCGTTCTCGTCACGCTAATTGCTTAGCAACTAATCCGGTCAAACGTCCTTATGTATGGAATTTCCATAAGTGTTCGACAGTTCGCGGAGAGACGCGATCGCCGAGGAATGTTTTAAGGACAATCCATAAACCAAAGACATTTACAAGAATTTTGAGAATTTTGAGAATTTTGAGAATTCTGATTTTTAGAAATACTAAGATTTATGGTGGCTCTTTGGGTTTATTGAGGGTTTAAGTAAGGGAGGGTGGATATCTGACGACCAGACAACGAGGGATGGCGTTTATATTACGCGACGTGACAATAAGACTTGGAGAAACAGAAAGTAGCTAACGGCAATTTTATAACGACATACGTGAACGCAAGCAGCAAGAGGAATTATCAGGAAGAGAGGGCCGAAGATGTTTACTGGATTGATCTGCGGTCCATGATGAACCAGCCCGCGAATTGGAATTCTCCACCTAATAAATCACCGTTGTATATCTGCGTGCACTGGGACGCAGGCACCGATGTTAAACCGGCGTTCTCTCTGCGCAACCTATAGCGTCAGTTTCATCGTTCGCTGGCACAGTCTCTCCAGGAAAGCGAACATTGTTTCGTGTGTGACCGTAGAATCGATTACAGCGGAACGATCGTCTAGATAACGAAACATACGCGGCACGACGAAACAGCTGGGATCTAAAAGCAGGTCGGATCGATTTTGTGGATCGATAGGTTTTCGACGCTGCTAGAATCGCGAGGGTGTACGAGCGTGATGGTTATCGACGTTCCACCGTTTACTCGCGGCTTAGATTCTCATTGATAAACAAGAGTCGATCGAATGGCAGAGTCGAGCTATTATGGGAATAAGGTCAATCTGTTCTTTTTTTGTTTCGCCCACACTTTGCCCGTTTTTGTCCTTTCTCTTTCTCCTTTTTTTTCTATTGTTGTGGTACATCCAGTAAAACGTTAAGAATATCTAGCCTCGTTTATTTCGGTGATACTACTACATGTACGAGAGCTGTGTTCGAGTTCGGGTTTTAATATCGCTGAGAGCAGCGCACGTTGACAAAAAGGGTAGGGAGTTTTTATTAAAACGCGCGTCCTCTCTCTCTCTCGTGCTCCCTGTCTTTCTCTAGCGCATTGATTTTCAATGTAATTTCACAAATTTATGGGCCATTTGCATCGCTCCGGATGGTACCGATATCATCGTGTTTAATAATTTTTTACTTCTGCATCAGTTCTTCCACTCCTGTCTCATTTTTTCTTTTTCTTTCTCTCTCACTCTCTCTTTTTTTTTTTATCTAACGGAATGGATTTCGTTCTATCGGATGTTGTTCCTGCAAAACAGCTAACCGGTTATCTTCTTCCTGTTACAGAACATTTTTCAAGGCCTATCCAGCCACAGTATCGCATTTCGGATACGTCGCGAAAACGCTATAAACTACGGAACGAAACGATCGCCCCTGTTTCTCGCTTCTTTGTCACCGCCAACCCCAGCTGCTCTACCATCGCCACCACCGACCAACCTTCTTGCCGACATTTGGATTCACCATTAAACATGGTCTCGGCTTATCTTAATGGATATCTAGTTGGTTTCTTGGATCTTGGGATGTGAGTCGACGAGGAACCTTGCATTGATTTTTTTGTTTTGGATACTCAACGACCGACGACGGATATTTGGATGGGACCATCGAATGGTGAGTTCTCGGTAGCAAATATTTTTCAAATTATTTTGAGGTGAATTAAACGTGTAGGTTTGTTTGATAAAAGAACGAGTGGATGAATTCGTAATAGTCAATTGTGTTAAGATCAGCATAAGTACAAGTACAGATACAGAGATAGTGTATGCCAGTCGTAATCGTCTTGCTCAATGCTATTATGTCGATCGAAGAAAGGACAATATACCCTGTCCTAGGAAGCACGTTCATATGTTTATACCGACGAATGCCACCACAAAAAGTTAATCTTCTTATGTAACTTCGGCTGGAGATTACAAGAAACGGCAATAACAATCTGTCCAGAGTTCATTTGCCTCTAGACCTTGTTAACCAAAACAATCGTTAGTATTCAGAGGTAGAATAATATGGGTCTCTCCCAGATTCGAATTTTTCCACTTGAACTTTTTTACGCACCTGTGCCGCTACAATTTATTTGCGCGACAATTAGGTAGGTCAATACACCATTCAAATCATCTAATGTCATCTAATGGAGCGGTTAATGAAGAGATTTGTTTATAACATATTAATTAAAACCCAGACGATTGTATATATCTTTTAAGAAATTTCACCGTACGATTTACTGCTTAATTATATCGTGGGTTTACGCTCTGACGTGGATTAAATGTCGTACAGGCAGATGTAAAACAACAATCAGCCATTTCGTGGTAGACAACCGTACATTTTTCATCGAGTAAAGATGTCCCCGTACTGGTGGTCGTTTCTTGGAAGTAGCGCAATAGGTTCCTCTTTCAGCGTGTGCTGTTTAATTTACTGCAGCCCTCGACGAGTCGCGCAAACTGCATTAATAACAAGTCTGCTTGCTCCTTTGACATTCTGCAAGAGCATCCGCTGTAAAAACTCGCGCCCCATCGACTCTGACGCGAGATCGTTTCGGTTATTTTTCACCGCGGCTACGAAAACAAGAATCCGCGGCCGGGAAAAACGAGGCGCAAGGCGAAAGTAGGAGTTCCAAGAAACTTGAATTGTAGGTTCGGTTCTGGCTAATTTACCGGTTATTTCCGCGAGCAACGAGCGACGCGGAGGGTGTCGATGACGACACACAGAGGTCGATGATTTCAACCTCGTCGGCTATATACCTTTTATCCGCTATGCAGAGTGGCCGTATTAAAATGTAAATGCATGGTAGCTAGTTATTATGCGGAGCGGCCGATGCGATCTCCACCGACGGCGATGCCACCCTCGTCCTCGTGTGTGCGTCCTCCTATGCCCCTCGTCGTCGTCGTAAACACCCGATAATGGGGAAACCGTGTACCTTGCTATCCGTTCCTGTACTCTCACGCAAGTGTGAGAAAGAGGGAAAGAGATGACGCGATGGCCAACGAGAGACGTCGATTACTGTTCCTCCGACCTCTCGCGATCAAAAATTGCTCGGACATCTGAAACCTTCCGATACCACATTTTTCCTCTGTGTATTCCTCGGATCAGGTAATCTCTATAAGAAGAAGAACACTTGGTCCATAACGTCCACGAACCGCGAGTTGATCAAAGCGCACGATCGATCAATTCCCTTCCCATGTTCGGATTATCTTCCGTAAAGTACTCGTGAAACTTTTAGATTCCGCGTAAAACCGCTGACCTTTTTTTCCCCGGTAGTATTACCGTATGATTTCGATTAAGATACCTCGTTACAGCGCCGTAAAAGCGGCTTCTCGTTTACCTCTAAATCGGTCATCCTCAGAAATCTTCGAAATTCGAGGATAGCTCGTCGCACGTGTCTCTTTCGACGAGCGTCACCGCGTAACCGTTGCAAATTGCTGGAAGAACCGACATGACGTAAGCGAGATTCGACAAAAGGAATCTTCCGGGCAACGTGTTTTTCTCGAGATACGTGCTCGGCCAATGAAAAATATTTGTTGGTTTTGTTAGCCGGTTGGTTAGTGTAGGAGTCGCGGATCCTTCAACGGAGGGCACGTTTTCCTCTCGTCCCTCTCTCTTGTCACCGTGTTCGCGATGTTATCACTGCCGCCTGTTTTGCGGCTTTCGTATTATTTGTGCATTTCCACGGTTATATTCCTGCGGGTCTCCGTTCTACCGTATAATAAAATCCCTCTCAGCAGACTGTCTTCTCCTTTCCTGTACTCGGAGCATCCCTCGGTACACAGTATGTTGCTGCATCGTGCTTGCACGGGGCAACGCGTGGTGCATTCTTGGTGTGCTAAGAGTACGAGAGAGGGAGAATGGGTTGACTAGATAGAGGGAGCGAGGCGGGATCGAGATGGTTTGGGAGGATGGGTAGGAGGAAAACATAGAGGGCTGAGTAACTGCAAACAACAAATACCACCAGGTACCGGCGCGCATTCCACGAACGGTGTGTATAAACACGAAGCCGACGGCCGTGAAATCCGTGTAGAGAAACCCGGTTAATGCTGTCGAAGTACACGATACTCTGGCTATATTTGTCGATCGTTCCGGGAGACGATGTATAGATATCTTGCGAGTGTAAGCTAATCGGGGTTGCAGCCTTGTCGAGCTCGCCCTTTACTTTAAGGTTCCGAGAAACTTTGTACATCGTCGGTCATGAGCTAATGAACCTAGGTCACCTTGATCTACCGAAAAGCACGAGCACAGCGGCAGGAGAGAACGGAAGGACGCGCGTAGCGTTCGTTGAAAGATAGGGATACGGAGGTTGTGCGGTGGGTTCAGGATTGTAGGGTCATGCGATCGACCGCGGCCAGAGAGCCATGGAGAGAAAGAGAGGAAGGGCGGAAATGAGAGAGAGAAAGAAAGAGAGAGAAAGAGGGACGACTTACTTATGGCGACAACAGGTTACAAAGTCGGCTGGTTAACGCTGGCCGCAGGTCAAGTTTCCTCTCATCGTGCAAAGGTCAAAGGGCATTCCCCTAGCGGAAGCTAATGACATTTTTGCGGGACGTTAGAAAGGTTCGTGTACGGGATACCTTTTGAATCCTCTTAGGGTGTCTAGAGAAAGGGGAATAAATCAGAAGGCAAGATCCGTGACGATTATCCACGGCATGAAATGCATTATCGAACGTTTAATAAAGAGGCGGTGGATAGAATCGTCGCCTATTATACGACTAAACGGCGCGGCGCGATGTCGTAAAGGATCGCGCCGTAGAGGAGCAAGATCGACGATACGCTGCCGGGTATCCGTGAACGAGCTGGGAGGGGTTGCATAAATATTTCTGAAAAATTAACGAACCAGCAGTAATACATTTTACAACGCTTGATAAGTTCCGTAGTAACGCGAGCATCGGAGAAAAGTGGCGAAAGGCTGTGCTGATAAATAGGTCGATCATAGAAGCCCTGTCGGAGCGTGAAGAATTAATCTCCCGCGCAAGAAGTTTAAATATTAAATACGAGTCTTCGCTGCGACCGTATTCACGCGATTAATTGATTATCCCTCTATGGATGATAAATGAGCCTTCGGCTGGCGCACAATATGAAAGCTTGTATGTGCAACGATACGTGGAGCCTATTGTACGCCGCTTACCTGTAGGGTAAGGTGTTGCCAGGTGTGTCGATGTAACGATGCGAAGAAAATAGAAAAAAAATATAGAGAAAATCGAGTCGCCTCAAAGTGGTCGCCTAAATGGCACGTTCCATTAGACCGGAAAATTCGAAGGCCGTGCGCGAGGGTCGATATAAGCCACTCGTTACAACGGTTCACTTCGTGACTGAATAGAGGTCAGGTCGATCGAATCGACGATGCGATTAATCGTGTTTCCTTATTTTCTCCTTTTCGTTTGGTTTGGCAAAACTGGAGTTAACGATGGCAAAGATTGACCAAATCGATCGCGATTTATAAAGAATGGTAAGGCTCATTGTCAACGGGAAACCATGGTGTTTGCGAAATCGCGGATTCGCCAGCGAGCTATGTAAATCCGAATGACGTTTCAAATTATAATGTCTCGTCGTTCGACGTTGAAAGATAATCACTATCGTTTGGTCGCACGCTGCATCGACTGTTTTCTATTGTGGACAGTTATATTCAGTGGTCGGATGATCGATAAATTTCGCTCTAATTGCTTCCACAAAGCGTACAATCCATATTCGATCGTGAAAGAAAGCGAGAGCGTTCTTGCAAAGGGTTGGTAGGTGGGTAGGTTGGTAGGTTGGTAGGTAGGTAAGTGGGTAGGTAGGTAGGATTCGATCGGTGGGAAATTCCTACCGCGGATCCTTTTGCCATGTATTTCCAATGAGCGCGGTAAAGGAAGAGGCCGAGTCCTAGATATCGCGGTACCGCTAAATATTCGAATCGCCGTTCGCGATACAAGAGATTATTAAAATATTTAAACGAGCCCGTCGACCGTCGTTACCGGGGACTGAAGTCCTCTCTTCGCGAGGTTCTCAATTAAATGCTAACGAGCGAAGAGCTCTTTCCACCTGAATACTCCTTCGTTGGAAGCTGCAGCAGCCACCTAGCTTTCCTCTGCCCCTCACCTCCTACCTCTCATTCCCTTCGGCCCGCCCCTCACTGCCACGGTTTGCCCTTCTTCTCTGTTCCCCCGACGACATTGTTTTAACGAGACTGGGAAGTGCAATTTGTTCTTCCTGCCCTCGGCCCGTCGCAAAAGGGGTTACCTGCTCTTTCTTCTCTCTTTGCAATACTCTTTTCCGCGCTTTTCTCGCGGAACCCGTCGCGTCGTCTTGCTTGTGTGCGACGCTCTCTGTTCGCACGTATCCGCGTGCCGGCGACCGCGTTTCAATCACAGTCGTTTCGTGAAAAATCGCTGGCGGCAATTTCGAAATTATTTCTTCGTGGCTTCGCGAGCCGGTTCACGGAGATCCCAAGTTGTCGACTGCTGCGTCTGCAAACAATAGGATACGTTGAGCGGTAATTGAAATATTGCGCGCGCGGTAACGGAGCTGCCTCGTTACCCCGTGATGCATTCAGAAAAAAAAAAAGAACGACATACGCCCTAGACCTATTATGCCCGACTAACTAAATCCGCTGCGATTGTTCGTGGGAATGCCATTGTTGTTTTAACGTAACAGAAGTATTCGGGATGGAAACAACTGGTGGTTCTTGTATTTCGTACTCTCTCGTTGGTTTCGGTCGGCCAACGAATAACAGGCTAGCAAATATCCGGAGTTGAAAAATTTGTGCCGCTTCGTAGATCGCGAAAAGCAGACATCGCGTCGAGTTAGGGGCCAGCTTGGAGAAAAAGCAGGATCGAGATAGCGCGCAGTATCTTCTCATCCTCGGTTGCACGATGCGCCAGTGACCAGGAGCGCTCGTAAAAATGATCGAAGTCTCTAACGTCTTCGATCCTCGGTCCCTATAACTTTCAGCAACCTCCGGTTCTTTTTTTAAATCTACTCCCGCAAACTTTCTTCGCTCTCTCTTCTTCTGCGGACGCGTCTCGTCGCACAGGCTGTCGCTCTCCAGACCCGGGGAACGAGAAAGTACCGAGAAACGCCGACAGAGGTGAAGGTGCTGGGTACCCTCGAGTTAAATTTTAATTTGCAACTAGTTAAAAAGTTAGCGGCACCC